ATTGAAATAAGATATCTAATACAGTGATAAAACATCAAGATCTGTAGACAGCAGGTTAAAGAATATGGCTAACATCATCATCATCATCATCATCATCATCATCATCATTGCAGCATCTGAAGCTTAAGAATTACAACTGGAGGTCTTCCTGGAGTCTCTACAGTTTTGACAAAGGAATCAAAGCAATCAGAAAACCCATCATTTGGTACTAGGCCTTTCCATTTCATTGCCCAGAGTGTAGGATCTTCTCCATGGGAAGAAGGCAATGTGAGCTAACCCCCGCATTTTTTTTTTCATACTACATTTTACTTTTATTTCTTCTCCTCTTTGGTTATTTCATTCTAGCTTTAGCACCGTTTTACAGACGGCCTCTTGTTAAAGTCTGGCTGTGAATTGTTTATGGGACAATTAAAAGTTTACACTCACCTGATTTCTACCAGTAATTCCTGGATACACTCCATCTAAATGCAGAATACCAAGATTGAAGGAGGCTTCTGGATTATCCATGGCTTCAGCTTTCAGCCAATATTTGGCTGCTTTTGCATAATCTCTTTTAAAGTTATGATAATACCAGCCAAGGCCATTCACTGCCTGGGGGAGTCCCTGTTGGGGGAAAAAAAAAAAGGAGTGTAAAGGACAAACTGTCACGCAGGTTATTCCTGTTCCAACATCTGCTCCACCAGCATCCAAGCCTTATAAGAGTTCATCTCAGGGAATTGTGGACAAGATAGATTTTAGGACAGTTCAGAGCACAAAGCTAGTCATAGTCAAGCCAAAAAGACAGTGAAAAGGATTTTAAAGCATGCCTTTTTGGGAGAAGAATGAAACCGGTTTGCATGGACCTTCCAGATATTGCATCTACTTGCAACACTTTTGCAGAGAAGCATCTTGGTTAGTCCACTACGATGGAAACAAAGAGACTTTTGGCAGTTCAACAGCAGGGTAGTTTTTACTCCTAAAGAGCTGTGTCGTTTTGATAACACAAGAATCCCCACCACAAGATGAAAAGGAAAGAGAGAGGTCTGAATTTGACCAGACACAGTCTCTGATAGAACAATCAACAGATGTCGCCTTTAGTTTTTACCTTTGAAGCGGCTTTTTTCATCAGCTGTAGAGCAAGACGTCTGTTTCTTTTCACCCCTTGGCCCTAAACAATGGGAAAAATAGTTTCCAAATGTCTTAGGCCTCTTTTTCACACAGGAAAGTGATATAAGCACTTTCATTTATCAAAAACGGAAATATTCTGTTTATAAGAGTAGGATGTAAAAGGTACTCAGACTACAAGACTATTTGTTTTAAATACATCCAGAAGAGAAATTAATTAGGAGTGACTCTGAAGTGGATGATGGAAGAAGATGGTCTTGGTCAGGTGCCTGTCACTTTTCATCCAACCACGATTCATCCTGTAGGAGATGTTAGTTTTCCACTGCAAAACCGTTAGTTTTACTGAACACAAACACAGCTTGATTCATTTGTTGATGAGTAAGTTGTTTTTGCATGATGGAGCACACACCCTCAAAGTATCTTTGTAGTTAATGGCATGACTCACATGATTAGAAGCCAACATGAGTAGTGTGCCAACACCCTGAAGATGACAAGAGACATGCTAAATGATACGGATGATGCAACTAGCATTCTTATGGCACTGAAAACTGCATTTACCACCAGTGAAATTTCTTTGTAGGCCGTCAACAGAAAGGACTTAAGGACATACATGGGGTTCAGCCCAACTTAGCAGGAAACGCCTTGAAAGAACATAATTTTAATATATTCCAGACGCAGAACTGTTGCAGAACACGTATAAAGTCACTTAAGAAATAGATGGAGGTAATTCCAGCAGCTATTTAATGGTGAGAAAGAATGCAGGAAATCACATAAATAGATATAAAATGGACATCAAGAGCTGTGGTTGAAGCAAAAGCCTGCCTGCCTGCCTGCCTGCCTTCCTTCCTTCCCCTCATTCCTACCCTCCCTTATAATATCATTATACAATTAAAAAAAAAAAAAGGAAAACACCCCAAAGATATTCATTTTTAAAAGTTAACCTTACCTTGAATAACACAATTGAATAATCAAATAAAGAGACTGGATCTTCATTTTCCAAAGCGCCTTTTGCATACCATTCTACAGCTGCCTTTACATTTTTTTCCACTCCTTGTTGGCCCCAGAAAAGCATCTGTCCTAGACGTTGCTAAAGCAAGACAAAATGTTCCAATAGGACATTGTTAGCCTTGCGAGGTAGTCCAGACAAGAAGCATCACCAGGAGTACTAGTTCTGTCTTTATTGTAAGGTGACATTAACAAAATCTTGCAAGTCTGAAAGTATTTCTCCCCTCCTTTCCTTTTACTCTCTGGATAACTAGGGAGGGTCTCTTCTGAAATGTTTCCCACAACCTCCCTCCTTCTGGGGGCTGAGACATCTTTTTCATGCCGGTTACCCATCTGCGGCTCTCCCTCCTGTCTCCCAAGGTCATTCCCACATATCACTACAAAAATGTATAGGTCAATTATGGATGTTCCACAAGTATACACATGATTTAATAGGACCAAGAGAGGTATTTCAAGTAAGCATGCAATTAAATTAAATTAATAATCAACTTAATTTTAATTATTTACATGGCTGCCCATTTCACAGCGGTGACTCTATGTCATTAGAACTGGCAATTTAGATCAATGCAAGAAGCCAACCAACATTCAGCTGTCATCTGCCTTCCTATTATGTCAATCCATGTACTCTGGGATGATAGACAACAAGTTTTGGTCTTCTTCTGTGTGATATCTTACCTCTTCCTTCAGTTTTCTCTTCTCAAGCCTAAACATTCTCAGTTCCTTCAAACTCTCTTCATAGGACTCAACTTTCTAATCCTTTAATTTATCCTCGCTGCCCTTTTCTGAACCTGTTCCAGTTTCTCTGAATCTTTCTGAATCCTTGTGCATAGCTGATTTCTGTTTTCTAAGCCAGTTTTCCCAATTGAGAGTGACTTTGTTCTTGCAAGTGTGTAGAGTACTGCAGCCTAAACATTCTTCCAGAAGCTGGCAATCCTGCATTTTGGCTAGCCTTCTGTATGTTGATGGCTCAGCCAAATACGTGCGCTGGAAGAATACTCCTGTTTTGGTCTAAATTCGCTCAATTTTGGCCAGTGAAAGTAAGTACCATTGAATTCAGGCCAAATGGGAAAAAAAATGCTATTTTAAAATGTATGGATTCAGTTTCACCTGTGCAGCTGAATTTCCTCTTACTGCTTCATGTTTCAACCACATGAAAAGATCCCCATTTTCTTTGGTCTGTGCTTTTAATAACTCATCATTCTGAAGCCTGATTACTTCAACAAATGCCTAAAACAAAAGAGACAAAGAGAGAAGACATTAAACCAGTGTTTCTCAACCTCAGCAGCTTTAAGATGTGTGGACTTCAACTCCCAGAATTCCCCAGCCAGCCTAGCTAACATTTATAACATAAAAAATATTCTTCTTTCCACTGAAGTTGAAGCTACTAATTCTGCAAGCTCGTTGCTCCAGTGGAAATGAGACAGGTCCCACTGCAGAAGAAATCTTGCAACCAAAGTTTTGCAGTCCTTCCTCTTGATCTCTACCACATGACTTCCCACTCCAGGAAGTCCCCCCTTATCCCAGACACAGAAGGCCACTATACTGTGGGGTCTTTGTTTCTTCCCACCATCTTTCCTTGTTGAATAGTCGTTCTACTTCTCCAAGAGTGGCTAGCTAGAGAGAGTAAGGAGGATGACCCTGATGGAGACAGGCACGAACTGTTAACTAGGCAAAAGGAGCTGAAAACTTTTTAAAGTCCAGAGCAATGGGAAAACATTTGGAAGCGACTCAGGAAGATGCCTCCCTAATTCACTGAACTGAAAGAAGGAGCAGGAGGTCCTGCTCAGACTTGGAAGATTCTATCATTATAGCCAATCTCAATAGAAGTAGTTTTAGCCTTCTGGTGGAGTTGATTTCCTGGTCTGGTCAATCTAGTGGGGTTGACACTGGCCTTGGCTAATTTTCTCTTTCTTCCCTTGCAGCAAAAAGCTAACACAATGAGGTGAAGAGGAAGGACAGGGATGGGTGTTAGCTGCTTCCTCGTTTGGGCACTTTCCCATCGGCGAGCTGGAGGAGGTCTTGCTTCTCACAGGGAGGGTGAGGTTACAACAGTTTGCTGGGCGTTGTGCAGCAGAGCAAAAATGGTGATCCCAGCTATGGTGGGCAAGGCCACTCCCCGTTTTTCTCAGTCTGTTCTCAGCTAACCCCAAGGAGCATCTACTTGCTGTTGCAGTGCTGTGTTGCACAGACCAAGTTCAATCTCATGTTACCCTTTAGTAGCCAAGGATCACAAGAGATGAGAGAGCTCCAACCAAAGATGTGGTTGCTGCTGCAAGCCAGCACTGGAGGACCATTCTTAGATCTAGGCGCATGTTTTCCATCAATCCACTCTTTCATATTTTTAATACAAAGGCAAAGTCTCCCTTAAGCCAACTCAATTTTTGGTAACTGACTACACTGATTGATTGATTGATTATGTGCCATCAAGTTGGTGTTGATTCTTAGCAACCACATAGATTTTCTCCATATGATCTGTCCCTAACTTGGTCCTTCAAGTCCTCAAATGGTGCACCCTTTGCCAGTGTAGCTGAGTCCCTGCCCCTTGCTGCTGACCATTCTCTTCTTCTCTTTCCTTCCACCTTTCCCAGCATTAGAGCCTCCTCCCAGAGTCAGGTCTTCACATGTGTCCCTAACCCTAACCCTAACCCTGGTCACTTGTGCCTCAAGTGAGATCTCTGGGTTGATTTGTTTGATGATGCATTTGTTTGTTCTTGTGGCTATCCGTGGTATTCCCAGGACTTTTCTCCAACGCTGAAGTTCAAAAGGGTCAATACACTTTCTTCCTACTTCTTCGAAGTCCAACTTTCACTTCCATTGAGTATCACAGGGAAAGCCATTGCCTAGACACATTGCAGCATCTGAATATCCTTTCCAAGGTCTTCATGGCTACTCTAACAAGGATAATATGCAGCCCGTTTCTTGACTGAACTAACTATAAGGACTCTTGTGTATTATTCCCTTGGCATGAATACAAAAGTGGCTTGTTATGGAATGTTTCTTTGACTTTTCAGTCTGGCCTAAATCCCTGGGATTTCCTAATACAGTGGTACCTCGGGATACGAACGTAATCCGTTCCGTGACTCTGGGCGTATCCCGAG